TCTATCATATATTTAATCATTTATTCTATTTTTGTAAGAGAAATATTTTTGTATTTTTGAAATTCAAATATACCATAATAATTGTCCGCACCTTGCACGAACCCTTTTCAACTATTATATATATATAGGAATGAAAACGAGCCAAGGCAGGGCGGAGATTATACTACCCGTCCCTGATTTCTGAAGGTATAAAATTTCCCGTCCCTGCCCCCGATCCCCGGTGGGGAACCCATCATGCCCCCGCCTCCTTCCTTTAATGGGGATCGGGTTTCTCGACCCTAAAAAATCTCCGACCTTTTTTTTGTTTTTTTAGGCAAAGGAAAGACAGAGAAAAGATAAATTCACATAGATGCTTGAAATTGGGATTTGTAGAAAAACGTTCAATGAAGCACGTTTAAGAAAAAAACAACATTTCATATAACATTCAATCATCTACTCAATGAGAAGTTTACAAGCAATCTTTTTCCTTGTAAATTACTGATTACTGATTTTTACAAGCAATCATTAAATCACCGATTTTTTTGGATGTGTTTTGTTAGGGAAATCCCAAGGAAACAGTAAATTACAAGCAATATGTTTCCTTTTAACAAGCAATCTATAGATTGGTTCTGCATTGCCTCAATCTTGCCTCATTTTTGCTTTGCTTTGCCTCAATTTTGCTCTGTTGCTTTGCCTCAGATTTTGCTGTCATGGTGTTCTACTGTCAAATTCTGTTGTCATGGTGTTCTGCCTTAAGCTGGTTGATACCTTGGTGCCTTGTTTTGTTTTCTCTACTGTTCTGTAGGCCTCATTGTTTACTTTTCCTCTTTTGCTTTGTTGGTCTCTCACCAACTTTGGCTTGAGCTTGCAATTGTTAGGGACTCGCTCCTAGTGCCAACCTAATTGGGATTTGGAGTGTTCTCTTTGATGCTTTTCTCGTGCCTCTTCTTTATTGATGTAATTCTATATTTTGTATGTTATCTTCATCAATAAAGTTCTTTTTTTGCAGATCAAAAAAAAAAAAAAAACTAGTATAAGATTACTAGGTAGGTAGGCCCGTGCAACGCAGGGCAAGTTGTCCATTTTTTTTGTGGCGAGGTTATATATTTTGTGGTTGATTTTGGTTTTTGATTTTTTTTTTTTTTTTACCTTCACTACATTATCTCTCTATCATCATCACCTTCATCACTATTGCCATTATCGCCGCTCTTATTACAATATAGAAATTAAAAATTATAATTTAGAAATAATAAATTTTAAATTTGATCTTATATTCAACACTTAATTTTTTAACAACCAACTTTTCAATTTAATAAATTTATCATTTAATTTTCAACATTTAGCTTTCAATTTTTAATTTTATATGTTGTTTGATCATATTTGTGTGAATTTTTATCTTGTCAAAAATTCAACCATGCTAAAGTTTAAAATGAAATTACATGACATATAGAAAAAGAAATTTAAAAAAAAAAGAAAAGAAAAGAAAAGAAAAAGAAATGTTACATTGAACAATTAATTGCTCATTTAGTTTAGTAAACATAAAAAAGTAAAATGAACCAAATTTGAACAAATTTTAAAACTCATAAAAGTTTTCAAACCAAGCTTGAATAGTTAAAATGCTGGTAAAAGTTACAATTAAATTTTTTTTTATGAATTTAAGAGTTTTAGGTCTAAGTACGGATTCTCTAAAGTAATTTTGGAATTTTTGATTGAAGTAATTTTAGTTTTTTTTTTAAAAAAAATTAGTGGTATTTAATTTTACAAAAATTAAAGATACAATAGTCAAAAGTTGCAAGAATAACAATCATACAAATAATCACTCTAACATCACTTTTAAAATATAAAAAAACTCAAAAGAAATCTCTCCTTTTGGACTATTAGCCTAATTGAATGAACTAAAATTTGTTACATAATTTTCAAAAGCTCACCGCCCAAATTAATTCACCAACCATACTAAAGGGAAAAATAAAAAATTCAAAAAGAAACTAAGGGCAAAATAGGCAATAAAAGACAAGCCTTCTCAACAAAGCTATTCTTATATATATAGATATGGATATACATATGTCAAACTTTTGCTTAAAACAACAAATATATTATAATGGCTACTTTAAGCTATACTTTTCATATGTTAACCTCTATTAACAGTTTAAGTTCTAATTAAAAATATTTATTTTTCTTAAATTTATTATCAGAAAAGAAAAATTACCTAATAACATACATAGGCTTTTATATTGGGAAAATTAGTGATAAGTCTCATTATTATTATTATTTTATTTTATTTTTGTCAACAAAGACAAAAAGACTATTGATGAGAATCAAGACAGGACCTTAAAGTAACTCTAACCATACCCACCCAAAAACTCTAACCATACTATTCATTTTTTTATTGGTTAAAACATAAAAATAAAAGAAAAGGTAATTCTTTATTTTGTGTAATTTTTTTTTATCTATGTCACTACAAAAAAAAATTAAGATTTTAAAGGCTAAAATTTAGGAAAAAATTATTTTTTAGGGACTAAATATTTTTGTTGCGAAAAGTGTCGTAATTATATTTTTAACAACGAAAATTAGATATTAGTGATGAATTATTATCTTTTTTAGACCAATTTTTTTATCTCAAAAAATAAATCCTTTTGAGACCAAATTATTTTGTCTCTAAAAATATATTTATTAGTGACATTACAAAATTTTGTCGCTAATAAAAACCTTATTTTTAACTTTTCGGGACGATCTTTTAGTGACTATTCTCACGACGATAGAAATTGATCGCTAAATGTCTTTTGTAACCAAATTTTTACTTTTAGAAATCAAGAAATTTGATCTCTAAAACTCTTATATATTATGATATGTACTCCAACGCTATTCGTTATTTTGAATAGTAGCCTTGAAATTTTTTTTTAAATAATTATTATAATAATTAGTCCGTTTAAATGACTAAAATATAATAATACTAGCGTATGCCCGTGCCTGAAGGCACAGTGTAAATAATGTTAGGATTATAATATAATTGTAATCGCAACACTATTTAAATTTAAGATTAAAATGCAATTATAAAAATATATTTAATAGACTACACTCTACAATTTCAAAAAATATATTTAGTAGACTACACTCTACTAATTGACAATAAAAGTTTTCATTCTTGCATGTGCTTTCATGTTTATACAAATGCTATACACACAGGTAGAGACTTTGCTTATTTATTTCAATGTCTAGGTGGGAAGATGATGTTTGCATGTTCTGGGACTATAATAGAATGCGAGGATGTAATGGAACATTCATCAGTACCATTTTAACTTCTGCAACTCTCCTAAGATCACCTATTGATGCAAATGCTATACCAGATGACATTAAGGTGGTTGTTGTTGTTTTTTTTTTTTTAAAATTATAAAATACTTGGCATAGTACAACACTATTCAATGTTTTTTATTATTATTTTTTTGGGTGGGTATGACTTACTATTATTGCAGGTTGAGGTTGGTGTTTATGTAATGAATGATAAACCATTTAACGGTCATGTTCGCTTACGATTTTCACTTCAACATTGCTACCATTAGTATTGAAACAGCTGTAGCACTGCCAACTGCAATCATTAGACCCTTGTATGATTCAATCTCAATCATCATCAATCTTACAAATCAAGCTACTGCGAAATGTGGAAAATTTGGAAAACGAAGTATTAGAAGTTTATATGTTCGCAATTAGAATTTAACCTGAAAGAATTTAACCTGAAAATTAACCGTAATGCTTTGCAGAAACTCTATTTTCTGGTATCTCCGCAAGCCTTTGAAGGAAAAAATGGTCGACTTGGTGATTTTCAGATAATCAGAAAATCTGAAAGCAAGAACCGAAGCAAGAATTAATCAGAACTATCAACTGAAATATGCTATTATTCTTGTTTTGAACAATGAATTTGACTCCCATTATTAAGTTGTAACACATACTAAAGCAGTCATTTTCTCACTGCTATGCATTATATTAATTGACTGTAATTTTATTAAATTATGGATTCTTTATTTTCTGGTGGAAGCTGACTGTGAGATGTTGTAATATCCAGATTTAGGGCTGGAAGGCATTATCAAAAGTGAGAAAACAATTTGTTTGTTCTTTGATTAGCAATTGCAGGACACAGAGTCATGCTGGTTATTTAACAGCATAGTTGCTTCATTAAAATACTCACCTACATGCACACATGTAGTGATTTTTACCGCTGATGGTTTCTTCAACCTTCAGAATAAGATGTCATTATGGAAAGAAATAGAGGGCAAGGTCCACACATCAATTGTACCAATAACAGACAGACTAAGAAATATATGAGCTCTCTTGTTATTTGTCCAAAACCCTATTTAACATAGTATCCTGTGTAATTTGGGTTGGCTAAACAAATCTTTATGAATTGCAACTTTACAACCAAACCCACAAAAAAAAATGGTCGACTTGGTGATTTTCAAATAATCAGAAAATCTGAAAGCAAGAACCAAAGCAAGAATTAATCAGAACTATCAACTAAATTTTGCTTAGAAACCTTATTGGTAGGTGATTTAAAAAATCCCAAACAACCAAAATTTAAGATTACAGATACAAAATTTAATATCTATATCTATTATAGATATATAGATATATAGACATATATATATTTCAAATCAAAGTGCTTCCCTTCCTCATCTTGTGGGTTTTACTCAACCAATCTTCTCTAATCATGTATATATTAATTGGATATAGTGAAACCCAATAAATAAATAAAGAAATAAATAAATAAGAGTAGAGAAAGAAAGTTGGCCAGTGGTTGATCAATTGGTATACAATCAGATTGCAATTACTATGGATCTTGGCAATTCCACTCCTTCCACAACAACCACACTTGTCTGTTACTGCAGTTCCTTTCTTTCATTTTCTTGTTCTAGTTCTTTCTGTGTTTCAGTTTCTGTTTCACTTTCCTTGATTTCTGGAAGGGTTTCTTGGTCCCCAAACACACGGCCTCATCAAAACCCACATTGTCATTCACTTTTTGTCTTGTCTCCTTTCAAACCCATGTCCTCTTCTGCTCCTAAACATGACTCATGATTCTCTAATCCTCCATTTTTATTCCCCTTTTTTTCTCGCATCTTCTTTCTCTACAATGTCTTGCGAATTGCTGACTGGTTCAATTCAAGAAAACCAGCAAGAAAACCAGTAATGATTATAGATACAAAATTTAAGAAAAATCCAGCAAGAATTGTATTGGGATGGGTGCAGAATTCAACTGATTACAGATGAAAAATATCCAAATTCAAAACTCAGTTAAAAATCAACCCAACCAAACAAAACCCACAAAAAATTCAGCAAAAGAACATTATGAATTGCAACTTTACAACCAAACCCACAAAAAAATTCAGATTCAAGCAAAAAATAAGCAATAAATGAACCCATATCCATTCAGTTAAAAAATGGAACACCCTCTCAGACCCATTCAAACAAACACTTAATGGGTGTGAAGCCCTGGACTGAAATGGGTTGGGGATTAACCTCTGAAATTTCAAATGATGAAAATAAAAAAATTCAGAACTATGAAATTCTGATTCTAAAGGGTGAGAAGAACAGTTGTGATAGAGATTGCCATACCTGAGCGATGAAATCGCAACCTCTGAAATTGCAACCTCTGAACTATGATCACCAAAAAACCGTAAAGCATAACCTATTGCGAAGGGAACAACCAAGGGTCGGAAAAATCATCAAACTCAAACTCAAACTCAATTCATTGACCCACACACACCAAATCTGCAGATTGATTCACTTAAATCTGATCCAGAAACCGATTGTATTTCGGGGAAAAAAATACAACAGAGAGAGGGAGGAGGACAGGAATACCTTGTGATGAAGAGGAGCGTCGGTGATGAAGAGGAGCGTCGGTTACAAACTGATGAGAACAGAGACTCAAACTCAATTCATTGACCCACACACACCAAATCTACAGATTGATTCACTTAAAATCTGATCCAGAAACTGATTGTATTTCGGGGAAAAAAATACAATAGAGAGAGGGAGAAGGACAGGAATACCTTGTGATGAAGAGGAGCGTCGGTGATGAAGAGGAACGTCGGTTACAAACTGATGAGAACAAAGAAGGGAGAGGGATAAAGATAGAATAGAGGGGAGACGTGGGCAAGTGGGAAGGGGAGTAGAGAGAGATAAGGGTAGAATAGAGGGGAGACGTGGGAGAGGAGGAAGTTCACTCTTTCTTTGGGCGGGAAGTATGTGTAGGTATATATTTAGGGATAATCTCAGCCATCTATATAAATAAACAAATAAATCTTCACCATTCAAATGTCCTAGTTATTATAAACAAATTGTTTCTACTATAAATTTAAAAACCCTCTTCTCATATTATATAGATATTATACTAGCTAAAATAATTAACATATATGCAGCACGGTGCAACTAACAAAGGTTTGAAGACCAATACCCCTTACAGAATTCCACCTTAATTCCAACATATGAATAACTACCTACGAAGTAAGCACAAGTAGTCTTGCACTAGAAGAAAACAAACGAATGATCAAAGGCATTATTCAGAATATCATCTGATTTTGATCCATGCGTTTACCAGATTTGCTTCACATGGTTGAACAATCCATAACCAACTAGGCATAGCTTACTCGGTCACTATGACTCTTTTAAGGATTTAGTCTTAAAGGAAGGTTATGAGTTCAACTCTCCTTAAGGAGAGTTAAATTAGAAAGCAAGCACTTAGTGCTTTGTAAGGGTGGGAAGGTTAATTTTTATTGACAATAATTTAACTCATAACAATTAACTTTCACCGATAAAAAAATAAAAAAATCCATGTAAGAGAACATTAACAACAAAAATAATTGTAGTAGGCAGATGAATAAACAAAAAGAAATGAATTTAGTAAGTAACTCTCCTTAGCCTACTGGTCAAGGCTTAGGGTTTAGGGGTGCAAGCCTTGGCTTTAATTGCGATCCCTATACGTGGATGGCCAGATGTCGATAAAAAATAAAAAATAAAAACTCTCCTCTTTCTCTCTTTTTTTCATGTAGATAGTTAGGCTTCATTTGGCAACATGAGTTTGTAGTTAAAAAGTCGCTATAAATTGTCACATCACTTTCTTTACTTTTCATACGTCTTTTAAAAAAATAAAAAAATATCAACTAAAATAATCAATTCCCAAATGGCACATTATTATTCTTCATCTAGATAGTTAGGTTTCGTTTGGCAATATGGATTTGTAGTTAAAAAGTCCGTATAACTTGTCACATAATTCTTTTTATTTTTTACACATATTTTCATAAAAAATCAAAAAATCAACTAAAATAGTTAATTCTCAAACAGGGCATTGGTATTGGTCTGATAATGGTAAATTCAAGCCAAAATAAAAAAATAAAAAAAAAAAAGGAAAACTGATAATTTCAAGAGTAGATCACCCAGTTTTTTTTAACAGTTCTATATTACTGGCTACATGCAAAAACTATTCTCATTCATTACTTACTTCCTTAACGAGTATTTATCATGAATATCCAAACAAACGGTAGTATATATACAAGGTGACAGAAAAACCGATGACATAAACCATTTTTTTAAGAGACCTAAGTCAGAAAGAGTTTTAAATATTTACTGAAAAAAAGTGTAAAACAGACTTAAGTATGCTGATTAATAATAATAGATCAGAGAGATAATTATCCATACCTCCAGCATTTATTATGGATGCAACCCAGTTTTTGTCTCCAAGGATTGGATCCTTGGATCCTTGCGCCTCCCAGATTCATGAATCACTTCTTCTATTTCCACTGTTCTATGTCTAGCAAGTGCTTCCTCCATTGACAGCTTCTCCTCAATATTCTTGCCAATTCCACTCTCTAACAACACAATCTAATAGTTCCCTCTATAGATATCGGCTATGTATGTTTGCCATATTGGATTGGGTGGGAATATTATGAGTACAATTGTTGGCTTTTTGGCTTTTCGAAGGGTATTTTTGTAAATGTGAGCGTGCCAGCAAGGATCAATCAGTCCTTACAGAAATTGTGATTGCCAACCAATTACCAGACGATTGTGTTTTAGTTCTTTCAGCCTCAATGAAGAGGACTTTTACTGGTGGCTTGACTTAGGAGAAATTAAGAGAAATAACAATTAATATGAAGAACAATGGAAGTATTTCATAAAAATGAAAAACTTACAATAGTCCAAACTCAGCCTCGAAGAGGTTTACAGCAACAGTCCACTTGAATCTACTTGAGACTACTCCTATGAATTGAAGTACAGTGCAGATATGTAAAGTGCAGGTATTGAAAGTACAGGAATGTAAAACTGGAAAGTAAAAATATGAAATAAAGACTGGTATGTATGATCTCAGTTCGTCCCTTTTCCTGGGGGTCTCTCTGCTATTTATACTTGTCAAAGATGACCTTCGAAATGCTCTTCGAACCGTCGAACTGCTCCTCCATGATCGCTGATCATGTTGCCTTAGAAGTAGCTCCATTATGCCACCATTTGCAGTTAGGCTTCCCTCCTGTATTTGAATTTTGAATATGAGTAACTGTTGAAGCCACGTCACCTTGCGTTTCTTTACTGATCCAATGTTGCTCAGACCATGTGAGAACCAATTATCATCACCACGTGTACGATCAGGATTGGAGACTTAAATTATTTTCCAATAATACCCTTATTCTGCCACGTGTCGGATTGTGACTGGCTTTTACAAAATATATAGCTAACAACAATTAGATTATATATAGGCTATGCATGTTTGCCATATTAGATTGGTGGGAATATTATGAGTACAATAAGATTGAGTAAAAGAATTACTAGTGTGGTGGTATTAGGTGGGATATATAAAATAAATTGTGTTCGTTTATATACTGATTTGATGATATTAGTTAACTTATAATATATGAAATTATGTAAAACCCTCATTATATAGAATGTGACTTTGAACCAAGGGATTGTATTGAGTACTCCAGGAACATGGTCATGTAGTGTTCCAAGATGTTGTGATTAGTGGAGAAAGTAGGGCATTGAATAGTTTTTCGTGTGGTTAGTCATTTGGCCATAAAGTCTCTCCTAAGGGGAGATCTTGGGTTTCACTTTTATGAGTGGAATGAGATGCAAGTTGTAAGTGCTTGCACGGAGAATGTGTGCGTTTAACTCCCCTAAGTGCCTCTAACAACTAATCACTAATTTTTGGCGATTAAAAAATATATATAGAATGTGACTTTGTTATTTTTGTAAATTGAGATGCAACATGTCTGATTTTCTGAAATTAGAGTAGCAAGACCACCTTCAGCATGGGAATGCTGATCACCATGGCATTTTCTAAAACTAAGCAAGTTTTTGTTGTAAAACTTATAAAATTATATATTCTGTACGAAAATGAGCACAATAAATAATGTATATATTTTTTTAAGTCTCTATATGTATATATATGAATTGCTGTAGTTCACACAAACTATTTGAGTGTGCTGATTAAGTAATTGTGTGTGTAGCTTGGGCAAATGGGACTTTTACACTTGTCTAAGAGGATTTGTTTAAATCAACTTTGTCCACAAACAAGCTTAATCAGGGAAGTTATACCTTTTCAGAACTTTACTTGCTTATCAAGTTTGGTATTAAGACCTTTCCTTTTTATTGAATTCCTGTCTCTCTCACATGTTTTCAACACAAAAGAATAAAACACATGATTGATGATTGTACCAAAAAATTATTTAATCGGATTTTGCTGCGGCAACAAGGTGCTTGCATCCTAAAAGTTGCACAATTTTCACTTTTTGGTTGTTCTAATAAAAAATTTCATTGCATGATAAAAAATAAAAAAATAAAAATTATTTTTTTGTGAAAAATTATATATATGTGCATATATATATTGGAAGACAATCATGAATTTAAAATTATGTAAAATTGAAACAGATTTAAATAAAAAATTGAAAAAAATAATTTTAAAACAATTCATAAATCTATATCTAAGCAGTTATAATTTGGTGTAGCTGTTAAAACAGATTATAGATTATAACTTAACAGATTATAGATTATGACTTTTATCAGAAGCTATTAATCTGTTTGGTATAGTTGTTGGATTATAGATTTAAGTTGCTGAGTAGTGTTTGTTAAATAAGCAGTGAAGTAGCTTTTTCAATTAATTTTTATTTTTTATTATTCACTATTTGTCTACATTTCTCATTAAAAAAAAATAATATTTTATAGTCCATTTGGGTCTTTTTCTATTTTTTTTTTTAAAAATAAAAAAATTTAAGAGTATAACCGTGAATTAACATGTCCACAGCAAAAACTGATAATAAAAAACAAAGGGTGAGCAGCTTCTCAGAATCAGCTTTTTTACTTAAAATAAGTTGTTAGAATCAGAAGCTGTTTGAAATAAGTTTAACCAAATAGTCCAAAATAACTTTTTAAAAGCCAGAAGCCATAAGTTGGCTCAAAAAAGCCCCACCAAACACCCCATTGTCATAGGATTATTTTGAAAAAACTAAAAAACTGGACTCTACATGAATTCTCACTTCTACTTTATAAGTGCAAGAAAACTAGAAAAGTGTGACTGTACATCAATTACCACTTTTACTTTATACACGCAAAATTGTGTCCTCCGTCATTAACAAACACATTTTTTTTTTTAAAGAACACAAGTAGATAGTAGTGCTGAAATTATTCTATACAATTATAGTTCCCAACATTTGAAGCACAGGATAAACAGAATGAACTAGTCAGTAACTTGTGCTTATTATGAGAAAGAATTAATATTATTCTTTAAATATGAGCAACTTTACGTATTCAAAAAAATTAGATAAAAAAATACATTTTAAAATTTGTGAATCGGATTTTTTTTTTTTTGTGACTCATGTCATCTTTCTTGTGCATTATATTCTTGC